TTCTGTGTTTCCTTATCTGGATTGTTGGTGGGTTAATTGCATTTATTCCCACGGTGGGCATCGACTACTTTGGTAGTCGCCAAAAAGGTCACCACTTTTATGGCAGATCAGTTGTATGTCTCCCATTGCAGCTTTCTGCTGATAAGCCCTCGGGCTGGGAGTACTCTGTTGCCATGTTTGTTGGTTTAAACTTTACCCTTGTTTTCTTCGTCATTGTGGCCTATTCCATGATCATCTACAAGTCCTGCACATCAAACCGGCGCCTCGCTCAGCAAGGGACCGAAAGAGAGAGGAAAATGAAAGCCAAGCGAAGGGCAGCCGATCTGAGGAGGGAGGCCTCGCTCGCCAAAAGAGTGTTCTTCATTGTTCTTACCGACTGTGTCTGCTGGCTGCCTATCGTGGTAATTGGATTGAGGTCTCTCTTGGAAAAATCCTTCGGTACACCTGGTGACCTTGCAGTTTGGATCGCAGTCTTTGTTCTGCCGGTTAACTCTGCCATCAATCCCATTCTCTACACTTTATCAACAAAACAGGTACTAACTCGGAACCTTCATATCTTTGATAAGCTGAAATTTAGAGCATACTTTCATAAATATTTGTTCCAGGCCGTGAAGAATGTGAAATGAACCAGCCTAAGCAAAAACACTTCGCTTAGCACGAAGGAAATTTAGCGGTATTTGATATTTGAATATTTTCGGATTGTCCTTGATCTTTCATAAGAAAACAACTTCCTGTAGAAAATAACCCTCACAAAAACAGAACGCAGCATAAACGAATAACCTTTTGACGATAAACAACTCAAAATAATTTTACAGGGGCATCCACGGACGCTAAATTTAAATCAAACTTTTTCTGCGGGAATATCTCAATAGATGTGATCTGTACATAATGAACACTCTGAGGATTTTTTGCTTTGTGAAGGGGTGCATTTTGAAGTTTGAATCAGTGACTTAAGCCGGAAAGAGCTGCTAAATTTGCGAAGCAGGCAAGCTGCGAAATGCGATACCTGCAGTTCTTCAAAAGAATGATGGAACGGAGGAACTGAGAAACAATAGAACGGGGGATCAGCGGAGTTGCGGATTATTTTGGGACGCGGAACGACCGAATACTTTTTACGCATGAAAAAAAAAGAGCTTCAAAATATGGAGTTGCAATAAAATAGGAAAATTATTCATAATTGACAAGCGAATTAAAAAGAAGCATAGGCATGTTGGAGTCCAGAGGATTGGAAACCATGAGTCTTTCGTGCTAGCCCCTTTAAAGTATTGTTATATATTAACATTGTTAGCATTATTATCATTATTTTTAATACTATTTTTGTTACCACTTTTAAGTACTTGTTGAATGTCAATTGGAGAATATATTCCTGAATCATCTTTCTCTTGTGGAACAGGGTACTTATCATGATGTGGGATGAGGCAGGTTTTCTGTTTAGCATGTGAGACAAATACTCTGCAACTCTACGTGCTAGCGTCACTATAACACCTCTGGCTTTTTTAATACTATTAAAATTGTGCTTCACCAGTGGCCACATACAGTCTTTGACTGTTTATTTTTGTTCTTGATGCCTTGCATCTAGGTACGACGTATTGTGAGTCCTAAATTCCAACAGTTCTTGGGCTATTTGATAGAAAAGTGCGGACGAAATCAAAACAATGAAGGTACGTTTATCGAAAACCATGTTTATGGGAAATGAGGACTATCATCATTTTGTCGTGCGTTGAAGACGCGGTTTCTGAAAACAAACCTGTTCTACTGAAGTTTACGTCAAAATATACTTAACATTGAAATTAGATCAAGTAATTTTTTGTACAACGTCTGTCTTCCGAACAACCATAGGCATGAGAAATTCATTTCTCACTTTGAGCAACGCCTAGGGTCAATTTTGATTAGTTTGATTTTTCTCGTTTGAGGGTATATCAAGACAACCTGAAAGGAAGTCATCACCAGAGTCCTGCTGAGCGGATTTGCATATTTAAGAGTGGTCCTCTGTGATGTCAGTTTTAATTGATCCTAGCATTTGTCATGCAAGGTTGTTTCACCAAATTTCATTAGTTCTTGAAATCTGATTAAGTTTCATTGCAACGCGATAACATTCTGGTGATTGCACTTCTGCATGATTATCTTAAAAATACTATCTTCGGCGACGCTGACTATTGCTTCAGATATGACACACCGATCAGCTCACTGATAAA